TGGCGCACCGAAGCGCCATAGAAGGATACGCCAGTAAAAGGGTAAAATAGAGAACGCGTGAAGAAGCCGCGATGACGAAAGCAGACGAGTACGCGCAGTCCTTGGTTGAGGTCGAAGAGGGGAGGATAAAATAACACAGACAGATTTGGCGGGTAAGCAAACGCACGATGAGCGTGATGAGCAGTCGAACATACAGGCTGTAACTTGATGCATCCGCGGAACTTAGCGCAATGACGCCCAAAGATTGGACACAAGCACTGTCCGAGTGACCTGCATGTGCTCCGGAATGGTCGGATGTTCGTGATCCGGATCTATCGGATATTCATTTTCACGTTTGTGACCGATCAGAGCGGTTGCGGAAATCCCCACACTTTTAAAATGTTCCGTGCTTAAAAACAAAGAAAAAGAAAAGAAAACTAGTACACCGAGAATTGTAATGCGGGTGCCAAGCTGAAATAAAGATTTATGATAAAAACCACTGATATAATTATGGAACACTTTGCTTTGGCCATGAGTGGAGAGAGTCAACGGCGGGGGGGGGGGGGAAGGGGGTGCTAAATTCTTTCGGTGTTTCCTCGTAACTGATAGCGGGTAGAGAGCAGAGCCGACGTTGGTCTGACCATTACAAATACGAGAAATTAAGTTTCAACAATATTGAGGCCCAGCGTTAACCCTCAATAATACTGCTCCTCCATAGCCGCTTCACACAAATATTGCAGCGCTAAATCAACAATGATGCTGCTCTGATTGCAATGGAACTTGGCCCTGAAGCAGCGCTGTATCAGCGCTCTATTGCTAACACAGGGTGATGTAAATGGTGCATAAAAAGGGACAGCGCTATTTGCAGAGCGGACCAATGGCGCTGAGGTTGTACCGTAGCCCATGTTTGAACAGGCATTTAGTCTCCTCAACTCATGGCAAAATGAGCAGTCACGTGTTCTACCTCCATGGTCACCAGACATCAGTAGTCACTAAAAGGTTAAGAAATAGAGGGCGTGTCTTATTAGGTATTGCGATGTTTGCTTTGTGACCTGTTGTTCGGCTTTCTTATTGGTGAATGGCGATAGCTAATTGGCTGTGGACCGATAGTGATATGCTCGGAACCTGTTACGCCCTAAATTTGTTTTCAAAAATATTTATTGAACCACGCAGACATTGATTCCTAAGTATTACGGCGAAATATCGTGAGTGTATATTATATAAACCCTATTTGAAAATCTTGTTTTGTCGGACTCTCTAAAACGACCATGCGACGACCCAAGGCAACGTAAGCAACAAAACCACACGACAGATGTCTAAACAAGTATTCTACTTCATCCAGTATTGGAATAAAAAATTGGGAGTGATTAAAACGTTCGGCTATTGATTGGCGTTCTCGTTTTAGTTGGGCGCCTGTATGTCACCTGAGTGACACACAGTTTCGGTTTCAAAGATAGCCGAGTCTTCTGTCGTTTGGTAACCGCCCTAACCATGCTGGCCGTCCTGCCGCGGCTCGCATTAGTTGTGGAAAGTGGTTGTGGAACCTGATTGCGGATTATAACTATAATAATACGTAAAGTAAGCTTATAAAAATGTAAAATCCCAAGAGGATTTGAAACAAGAATTTTGCGAAGTTAGTGGCAAGCAAAGACTCTCGCGCGTGACCTCTCAAGTGTAAGCACATTCGATTTGGTCGATTTATTTTCGTGGGTAAAATTATTGAACGTAACTTTACCACGACCGGCTTATGGGCGTGAGTTTTCTTTCTTTTTTTTTTATAAATTTGACATTACAGCGATCAAATTCCTGAAGAGTAACTTGAGGTGGTGCACCTTGGGTACCTAAAGGCAATTAATTTTGCGTATGTATCATGCCATCTCTTTTTTTCTGCAAGCGGATCATCAATTGTTTTATCAAAGCGAGAGCATATTTGCGGCTCGTCATTTCACGATTATAATGGGACGCGGTTCGGCCAATCAAAGTCGCAAACAGTTTCCTCAACCTTTCTGTAGCACGACATGCGGTATCTCAAACAATATATGGTGCCGGCGTGCGGCTCGAAGCCCAATAGCCGTCCGCGGTGTAATAGGCGACGCAATAGCGCTCAATGAGGACGGCCCTTTTAAAAGTATTTGAGCACACTATCTGACGTTAGATGTAATCCGTTGACTTGCATGTGTCATGTCATTAAGGTGCCGCTGTTGGAGCGATATCTGATACTCTGGTCTTGCTCACCAAATCCGTGCTACGTCGTTATCTTTCACAGTCTGCAAAAGTTTCCTGCCGTGATGTATTCGTAGAACTGAACGTGAAGCTCCCAGAGAATGAAGATTCTCTTTTTTACACTAATAAGATAATACAAAGTATCAAACGAGTGAAAGTGGATTGTATAATAAAGCACAATGATTTAGAGCAGGCATATATCTCAGAAATTCGAAAAAGACATTTCACAACCACTTCAAGATTTCAGTGATTAGAATGACATGAGAATGATCGGTGCATCTGTTGAATCTGTTGATCGGTGCGTTTGAATTTACAACGATTTTACTTTATCGGATTGGTCATGAAGACTAACGTTAGATGGCGCACAGAGAGTATTTGTGGGCAAAGCAGTGGAGACCGGGTGCTCCTGTAACATACGAGAGCCTCGATTTGCATTACAATTTGAAGCCCCAAGAGACGCCAAATCGAACTTGGTATTTGAACATCAAGTAAACTTAAGTACACTCTAAAAAAGGCCTGTGCGTCTACGTTCATACACAACACTCGGAGAGCCAATCAGCGCGACTTACGGAGGCAGCTCAGCGAATGACGATGCCGAAACATCTGTTTAGACCAAAAAACGCAGACTGAGTTGTGACATTAAGCAATGCAAGCGTGGCGTTTTGCATTGCTTAATATCAAAACTCGGAATGCGTTTTTTGGCCTAAACAAATGTTTCGGCATCGTCATTCGCTGAGCTGCCTCCGTAAGTCGCGCTGATTGGCTCTCCGAGTGTTGTGCGTGAAAGTAGACGCACAGACGTTTTTCAGAGTGTACATGAGTTCGAGCATGCTAACGTTACATTATATTCGAATAACATAATATACAAAATTCAATGTTTTTTTGCAGAAGTTTTATCTCAGAGGAGAATAATTGAGAAGATTCTCACATTATCTGTGTCTGCGGTTTGTAGTTTAATAAATATTTTGAATACGATAAGTCCGACGGATATTGATTTGACTAAAAAGCAAAACAAAAATAAAAAGAAATTTTGGAACTACAAACGTGAAAATAGCCATGTTGAAGATATGCCTTCCTAGCTTTGGTTACCCTGCCAAAGAAAGTTGTGGCAATGCATTTCACAATTTGCAGAAAAGCGGCGCAACGAAAATTCTCGGGTCGCACTAATATCCTGAGCATGTTAGGGGATTCTAAGGACGTCCATTAAATGGTGCATGCCCCTAAGCTCTGATGAGCATTTGACTTGTTTATATCAACGGGCTTGTGCACAATTGAGAGGAGATAGCATGTCGTCCAGTGCAGAAGGAAAGCTCATAACTTCCGGCATTTAAGCATCTAATCGTCCCTTGAATGGAACAGCATTCATGCCTCTTTAGTAGCGCTGGCGTTAACGCGTGACGTTTCTCAGTAACGTAGTAATGTACTCGTTACGTTTTAAAACCAGTAACGGGTAAGCTACTTACGTTACTTATTTCAAGTAACGGGCAACGTAGTTACGTACCTCGTTACATCTTCTTTCCAAAACCTGAAGCAAAGTACAATTGTATTTTGTTCGTGTTTGTATGCGTTTTGAATTAAGTTGTGACACAGCGGACGCTACGAGCTAATCTGAACCATCAGGCGGCGTCAAAAGGGCACATTCCTGGTGCTCGTCATGTTTCTGTACGTATTCTATCATCACTGAGCTAAACATAAAAAGAAAAGGCTTAGTGAACAAAAAGTTAGGGCGCAAACATGAAGGTTTAACATTTTGGAAAAAAAACCCGAGTCTCGGGGAAAAATGGACAACACAACACAAAGTCTCAAACACAGCTGTATTTGAGACTTTGTGTTGTGTTGTCCTTTTTCCACCCCAGTCTCGGGGTTTTGTCCAAAAGGCTTAGTGACTTGCGCTTTTTACGCTATTGATTTGCCACATTAGCTCGTATTGTTGGCGGCGTCTGGACTTAAGCAGCTGAAACGAAGGGTAGGAGCCAATCAATTAAGTATTTCACTCATTCCACATACCTTCAGAAATTGTGCTGTAAATTTCCCACGCAAAATGTCGCACCTTTAAAAAACCCTAGCACCCACGCTTTTTGTCCGAGACTGAGAAAACACCGTAGCCTCCAAAAAACGTTGTTACCGTCAATTTATAAATAAAAAGTAACGCAGAAGTAACGGGCTTTATTTTTGATCTGTAACGGTAGTGGTATCGTGACAGCTTTTATATTGCAAGATACGAGTAACATGTTTCCTTACGTCTTTGTTAACGCCTACAGCACTGCTCTTTAGTCAGCATCACTGATGGCGATTGCTTGCGTGTTGAATAAATGAAGTAACATAAGGTAATGCGTTGACGCTCAAATAAATTTTCGAAAGCTTCAACTTTTTCTTGTTTGCTTATGTTGGCTTTGCATCAAAGGTATGATGCTTCAAACACCCATAATTGTTTATATTTTTATTATTATGTGCTTCTGTTAACTTTGATACGTTTTATTCGGTGAAACCTACATTGCCTCTAATGCTGAATGCCTTGAGGCGGTTCAGCAAGGAACATGAATGGATAAATAGCAAGCAATATATACATGCCAAAATAAAAATGCGCAGTGGTAACAATGTATAGTATAATAAAGTAGGTGAATGTGCCGTGTTTATTGCAAATATTTATTCAACTACTTTTATGCATGACATTAGGTAATGAAATGAAATAATATAAAAATTGGTGAAGGCTGTCGCAATTAAAATCAATGTTTCTGGTGTACGTGAATACTACGTCGAATTTGAGTTGCTTTAAAGGGGAAACTTTTCTTTTCCAGATAAAACCTCCGAGCTATTCACTGGCACGTACGAAGGTTCCCGTTGCCATCTACTGGAGCCAAAATGACTGGCTTGCCTCAGAGACGGACGTTCGTCACCTGCGAGACGATCTTCCTAACGTTGTGTCCTTCTACAAAGTGCCTGATCCGCAATTCACGCATATTGACTTCGGATGGGGCTGTAACGCGACAAAGATTCTTTACGAGCCAATGATCAAGGAGATGAAAAAATATGGGCATTAAAATGTGTCAATATTTTTGAGTGCCATGAAGTCGCATACTTGGGTATGGACGATTTCCTCCATTGCAATTTTAGGGTGATAATTGTTGCTGGCGAGGCTTCGCAGAAAATATAGTCTGTGTTTTGTGTATAGACGTCGTATCTAAATTTAGAGGGGAATCACAGTGTCGGCAGTCACCTGGGGACGTGGCGTCACAATTTTAACGGTAGTTTTAGTGGAGGATTTCTAGTCTGAGGTTGGTGAAAACATTTATGTCACGTTATGTCTTGGCACCACGAAACGTTACAGTTGTACGTTAGGTCCTAGCGTCACGCGACGTCACGATGTCACATTAACACCGTATGTTAAATTTAAATATAGCTGTGTAGCTATGTGCAGCGTCTCGGCTGTCCCCGCAGCGTATATTTGGGGCACTGCAAAGTACAGGGAAACTTCTTTGCTGTTATAGTATAATCTCGCAGTAAACTTATAGTTTAAAGCACAATGGGGAGGTAAAGAAGAAAACAGTGTTTCGTTTCATTTCATTTCATTTTATTACCTTAAATACCCCGTCAGGGTTATTACATAAGGGATGGGGTTACATATAAAAGCATTTTTAACAGACATTCATGTCGGAAGGTGGTTGGCGACAGTCTCCATGAATACTGATGGACATGTGATGGCGGCGACGTGGTGGGGAAGGCCGTTCCAGTCTGCTGCTGCTTGAGAAAAAAAAGGCTAAAAAAGTAGTAGTGCGGGCACGTGGGAGCGTTACTTGAAGTGGATGACCAATGCGCGGAGATATGCGTGATGGGGGGACAATGTAAGGTGCATGGTTGAGCGAGCTGTAGTAAAACTTGTGAAAGAGGGAAAGGCTGGAAGTGCGACGGCGGAGAGAAAGAGGTGTCAGGCCGGATTCTGCTTTTAATGATGAAACGCTGATATCGTATGAGTAGGCAGAATGAATGAACCTTGTGGATCGATTTTGAATAGATTCAAGTTCATTACTAATATATGCTTTGTGAGGGTTCCAGATGGGCAGATGCGTATTCAAGTTTTGATTTAACAAGTGTTTTGTACGCAAGTAAACGTACGTGCTTCGGGACGTGGCATAGATTACGTTTAAGAAATCCAAGGACTGTTTGCAGCTGATATGACGTTGGCAGTATGCGCGCGCCATGATAGATCGTTCGACAGTGTTACACCTAGGTATTTAAATGATTGTACAGATTAGACGGTGACGCTAGCAATTGTATAGGTAAAAAGAAAGGGGTTATGGGGCAACGATGGAATGATACAAGTTTACATTTGCTGGGATTAAGGGTCATTTTCCAAACAGTGGCACCAATCTTGTACATGATTAAGGTCATTCTGCAGGCATGTCTGGTCAGAGGTGTTAGCGATTGTACGATAAATAACGCAGTAATCCGCAAACATACGAATGTGGCATGACATATGCGATGGTAAGGCATGACAGATGCGATGGTAAGGCATGACAGATGCGATGGTAAGATGGTAATGTATATTAAGAACAGGAGGGGGCCGAGGACAGATCCTTGTGGGACGCCTGATGTTAGTGGGAGAGGGTTAGATGAGTGGTTGTTAACAAAGACAAACTGAGAGCGATTAGACAGAAATTCCTTGACCCATTGAACAATAGCAGTGTTTAGATTTAATTGGGAAAGTTTTTGGAGGAGGCGCTGGTGCGCTACTTTGTCGAATGCTTTGGCAAAATCTAAATAAACCATGTCAGTTTGAAGGTTATGGTCAAGATTTGAATGCAAGTCATGAACGAAGAGTGCAAGTTGAGTTTCGCAAGAGAAGATTTTACGAAACCCGTGCTGGGAGGGGTGGAAAAAGTCGATAGAGTCTAGGAAATTAATTATTTGAGTGTATATGACGTATTCCATGGCTTTGCAGGGGACTCTTGTTAAAGAGATGGGAAGTTAATTTAGTGGGGAGTCCTTGTTACCCGATTTGTAGACTGGAACGACCCTTCCCACCTTCCAGTCGTCGGGTAAGATGCCTGTAGAAAGTGATTGTGAGAACAACATGGTCATGTACACAGCAGATATACGTTTGGTATTTTTTAAAAGTTTGGAGTTAATTCCGTCACCGCCGGCTGACGATGAGAGTTTGATATTTTCGATTAATGATGAGATGCCATCTACAGAAAATGTGAGAGCTGGCATAGTAGATACTGCGTTAGATAGTATTAAAGAGGGAGGGACATCAGTTTCTTCGCTAAACACGGAAAAGAAGGCCGAGTTAAAAGCATTGGCGCACTCAGTGTAAGTGACTATTTCGCCCGCTGCGTTCGTCAGGCTAATGATGCGCGTCTCTTGGGGATTTATAACTTGCCAAAACTTTTTAGGATTGTTAATTAAGATCTTCGGTAAGTCATCATAAAAAAGGAATGCTTTGCGCTACGTATAGATAGCAGATAGGCGTCTTCAGCTGCGTAGTTATTTTCCCATGCTCAAGGGTTTCCATTCCGTTTGGCCGAGCGGAAAAGACTTTTTTTTTGTTACCTAGTTTTTTTAAAGACTTTGTAAACTAGGATTTCTGTCGATTCCCACGGAACGTAATTATTGGGATGAATTTATTTTGCAAGTTCATTTAATTTATTTCTGAACATTATCCAGTTTGTATTAATAGAGCGACTAAAAAATGATGCTTCCAAAATTGGAAGGAAGGCGTTTAGCTCCCTGTTTAATACTTTATAATTTCCCTTATCATAAAGACGAATTCTTTTATCGCGTGTTTGGCGTCGTACCAAGCAAAAGTTGAAGGTAGCATGAATTACTTTGTGGTCGTTGATTTCGCGGAGATAAGTAACCGGTGATAGGCTGTCGGGATGACTGCTTAGAATTAGACCTAAGACGTTTGCAGAATCCCATGAAACACGTGTGGGTTCAGATACTAGTTGAACAAGGCTAAAATTAAGAAATACGTTAAAAAAATCTTTTGCGGCTCCAGTCTATTTGCGGGTAATTAAAATCTCCAAAGAGAAGGATATGTGCATTCGGGTACGTTGATGGAAATTCAATAAAGATGTTATTAAGTTTACAAGAAAAGTCAGGAGAATTATGGGGGGCCTGTAGCAGACTTCCAAAAGAACCGTCTGAGGCGAAGCGCGACATATGAGCCATAGTATTTCAAGGTCGGATGCAATGCTAGCAATAGAACATGACAAATGCTGGTGTGCGGCGATGAGAACACCTCCTCCTCGTGTGGCTTGGCGGTCATTTCTATAATGGCGGAAGTCTGGCCTTGATAAAAAATTTTTCTTGTTTATATATTCTTCTTTCCGAAATGTTACGCAGGAAACAAGCGCGCGCGTTCTCCCTTGCACAGCGTCCCAGCAAAGCCCATAAATGTTCTAAAAGCTGATAAAAAATGAACCTTAAAAAACGCGTCCTTATTATTGTCCTACGCAAGGTACAACATATAAATAAGGACTTTTGTTTCAACAGCGTCTATTACTACGCATTTTAGCAAAGGACTCATTTAGAATTATTTTGACGCATGACGAGCAAAAGGAGGCAAAAGACGCCCAGTACGTCTCCGTTTTGTTTTGTTTTTCTTTCGAGTGACCCACCAGCAGCCTGACACCTCCTTAGTGGTGTACTTATCCACGAGTCAATTAGTAGTAAAATTTTGAATATGATAAGAACGAAATGTTAGGACGAAAACAATAGTTCGACACACTTTCAAAATATACGCTCTTCATAAAAAATATCAAGACTAGCATTCCCCCAAATCTGTTCTAAATAGTTATACATCAGTTCTAGGCGTGTCATGGGTACAACATGATAAAAATTAATAAAAAAAAACAAAGTATAAAGTCTAGTAGACCTACGAGGAATGTGCAAGTAGATGTAACCATAGTTTATCATACACAGTTTGCCCACTGTAGAATAAGCCTGTGGTAATTGCAAACCACGTGATCAAACACCTTGTATCAATAAAAGTGCATTGTAAAACTAAATTCTTAATACATTATTAAAACAATCTAAATTATATTAACAACGAAACAACTTAAAAAGATCGCAAGTTTCTCAAATAACTTTTGAAACTCGGAAAAGCGCCCTCTCACCCCGGATGGGGCAACTAACCACTTTTTATCTTTCTGCTTTGTTGTTTCGTTCTTAAAGATGGCGGCCCCCATGGTATTTTGGTTCTGGGGTGCCGCGTTTGCTCGCGTTCACTCGCGTTCGCTCGCGTTCGTTGTGCTTTTTTGTGATCCGCCCACGCCCAGCAGTGGACAACAGTCACAGGTGATCAGTTTAAAGAAGAGAATTTGTTGTTCACAAAAAGCTTTACTTGTACTCTGTATGAAATCGATTCAATGGAGGACACAAATGCAGGCAATGTTACAAAATGCACACGAGGATCAATAAAAAATTTTTTTCATGTAGCGAGAATATATGTATACATAAAACGCTTTACCGTGTCACAAGCCTTAAAACAGTGAAAACCAAATCGTATGTACACAAATAAACACTGAAGAAGTGTGTATGGGGACAGCACTATAGGAACTACAAAATTCTACAATTTTCGACTTAAATGCACAAAATGCTGACAGAGCATAGACAAAGCATAGACAAAGCAGAGCTCGGCTGATGTAGGGCATGTAACTGCCTCAACGCAAATATGATGCGTTGAAGCGGTTGCAGAGCTTAGAACAAAGCACTGAAGACTAAATTACAAAGCTATAAGTATATCGCAGGAATTCGTCAATTTTTTTTTAATGTTGCAGGCATTTGCTGGTTTTTTGCAATACTGCTCCGAATGCTGATCTGCAATAAGCGGTCTTAACTCAACTTATTTCTTCGTGCTTGCTTGAGGAGTATATCATCACTACATGTACTCCTTAAAGCACACCCCACAGACACTGTCCAGATAAAAGAAGCTGGAAAACTTATGGCCTCATTTGTGCAAGTGGTCATCGATTTCTTTCCCTAAAATTTCTGCACCTTGTGCCACAACAGAAACCACGGTTTCACATAGCCATTTAAG